AAAGGAGAATTAAAAGAGACATGCGGTTTTTTTTACACCTGCTTGTTAATTCGCTGCTTTTGGGTAAAGTACCAAGCTGTTGATTCAGGTCCTGGATTTTGCTTTGTTTTTCGACTTGTAACAGGAAATTCTCCGGTGGATCTACTTTTGCGTAAGCTTCTCTAATAAATCTTCTCGCTTTCTATTCCTTCAATTCGTATTTTTCTGTGTTTTAAGTTCGAGGTTTCTTTTCTGCTTTTGTACTCGTTTTGTGAGAAACAGGGAGAGAGACATGATTAAAATTTTAGGAACCTTGTTTTCCAACGTAAATGGCATTCACTTCTGTGAAATCTGAATTTTTCGGTGAGAGTGCATCAATGAGTGGTGTTGACAGGATCAGCAGTCTTCCAGACGAGGCAGCACACCACCTTCTTGGTTTTCTTGATGTTGGGGACCTTTCCCACCTCATCTTGGTATCCAAGAGGTGGAATAGCTTATGTATGCCCGTCCCTGTATTGACTATTGATAACAGAGAACATGCTAGTGATTTAGCTTCCTATGATCGCTATATTCTTATGCTTGAAAGCTTCTTGGCTCTTCGACACAAGGCTCGGGTAGTGGTTCGTAAGTTTAAACTCACTTGGCAATTTTGTGGGGAGGGAGAAAGAAAGAAAACTAGAATGACGCGTAAGGGAAACATAATGCTTCTAGGTCTGAATTTAATCGAATTCAATTGTTTTACTCAAATACCCTCAAATCATGTGGAATTGCGCGTCTTAGTTGTTCTTCATCTCAAGAGAGTCTCAGCATCTTCATTTTCCAGTCATTTCTAATCTTACTTACAAGTTAAAAGAGCTTGCAGTGCGCACCAAAAATATCACTTTCCTCTCTCCAGATCATCCAGTATGTTCATACACAACCTTTCAACTAGAAAGCCTAACATTGGAATCTTTGAAACTCAGTCACACAACTATTGGTGGTCCTGCACCAACGTATGCTCGAGGTTGGCTCTTCTTGGGTGCGTTGGGATAAAGCTTCTCAGTTTCATTAGTGGATCTCTTGAGCATTTAATGATAATTGATAATAAAGTTGTTGAACTTGAATATGTTTCCATTCTTTGTCCTCGTCTTCGATATCTAGTTCTTAAATGGTATTCTTCTCCCAGTATTAGTCCTAGATTACAAATATATGCACCTTAATTGAGGGCGCTTTTTTGGTATGGTTTTCCTTTGGGGATCATGTAATTACCTCTCCTACCTCCATTTACAGCGTGCCGTATTCCATCTCCTACTGCCTTCTGGATCAGGGCCTCTATGGAGGAGGATATATCAGCCCCATGGGACATATCTGAAGCTTCCAACTTCTTGCTGGGTGCAGTTATTAATAAGTTAAAGATGACCAAACGCACAAGATTGCCTTCCAACACCATAGATGTAATTCAGAAAGCTCTTTGTTGTTCCATCTGTTATCTTTATGCATTACTATGAGCTTGGTTCACCTTTAGTAATATTTTTCTACATGTTATGTTGATACACACATCCAAAATGTCATGTTGGAGATGGTTGATTTGTCAATTCCTCTTGCTCTAATGTTTGTCTTCATGTCACAGCTTTTCTTTATCGAAGGATTTTCCTATCTCCATTAAGTAATGCAGAGTCTTGCTACAGATTGTTGCAATTTAACTGATAAAGAGGTACCTGCGATTAGCTTCTTTCTCCAAGGAGTGTCTCATTTTCCAATTTATCATCTTCTTCAGTTCTAAAGTCTGCAACAATTAGCTGGTAATTAAAAGTTAAATTTTTAACTTTATAATTATGATTTTTGTATCATTAATAACTGATTATTGATTTTTTCTTTTTAAGCTACACATCCACACCATATTCAACAAAACGAGTATCATTTCTTAATGGATTAGCCGATCACCCTCCAACCAGGCAACAACGAAAATTGTCATTGGGTTCGACAGAGCTGCAAGAAAATCAATCAAGCAAACTGGAAATTTGGATATAAACCTCAGTTATGTCGCGAAACGTGAATACTGGTGCAGATTATCTTGGGGCGGTATGATTGTTATAGGGCAACTCGGGCATAGACTACACTAAGGCCCTGTAGCTTTGATGTAAAGAATGTGTTCTCCCCATTCTTCGTCTTGTTGTAATTCTAGATTTACTAATTTAAAACACAGATTCTAACATTCTCAATTTGCATACCATTTGATTCATAAAAGAACTTTTGGTAATGTAGACCCGGAAGCAATGCAGAATGTTCCTCCCGGGCGATCCAACGACTTGGAAGCGAGTGGATTTGGAAGATCTAAATTTGACTCATATTGTATTAATTTCCAAAGGAAAAAATCCAAGCACGATGAAAGACTTTCATCCTATTAGTGTTTGTAATGTGCTATACGAACTTATTTTAAAAGTTTTGGCCAATAGATTGATGTTGGCTCAATGCACTCCAAGAGGGGGTGTATTGGAGTTGGAAGATTTTTATTTCTTTGCAACTACCAAACAAAAATTAAAGAGAGAGAAGTGAAAAAGAGCTTGCACAATAATTTTATAAAGGTTCAGTCCAACCACTTGGAGTTTAATCCTCTACTTTGGTTTCACTTGCTAAGGATTTTCTCCACACTCTCCACTAAGAAAAATAAGGGTGGTTTAAAGGAGTCACTCAATCCTTTTACAAGGAAAAGAGTGTTTCTCTCAAATTTCATCCCTTTACAAGATAAACCCCAAGAATCCTATCTACAAATCACTCTTGAAGGAATAATTATACCTTCAAGATAACACACAAGTAGAACAAGAAGAGGATTACAAGCAAAGATCACTTAAAGATTAACAACTCAAGTTAAAGCACAAGTTGGTAGGTAGAAATATTCAATATAAAGCTCAAAAACTAATCCTTGATCTGCTACTAACCATATTTATAACCTCTTGGTAAAAAATAGTTGTTTCTAGTTGTTGGGGGTCATTACATGCTCTGCAAGTTGTGTAATTTCGAGTTGCAGAATTGTAAGTATAGCCGGCTTAAAGTCTAGAGCCAGCTTTGTGGGGTTCTATATATTCTGTTTTTTTCGTAGAGTCGACTTAGATTCCTTGAATTGGCTTTGCGGGTTTCTTGCACATTTTGTTTTCTTGCACATTTTGTTTTCCTGCACAGCCAGCTACAAAATATAAAGTCAGTTTTGGAATTTTGACTTTAAAAACATTAAATAATCTTCAAATAACTTGACTGTTGTGCATTAAATGCACCATCACAACTGGCTGCAAAGTTAAAACTGGCTTTGCGTTCGTTTCTGCACGCACCAAAACATGTGCTTGAATTTTTGCCTTTAGAGCTAGTTGCAGCCTTTAGAGCTAGCTCTCTGCATTTTTTTAGCCTTTTTGGTCATTTTTAGTGCAATCCAAGTTCACTTACTTTTGCAATCTTTTAGAAGTTTAACTACACACTTAAATGAACAAATTAGTTACTCAAATGTGTTTTGTAATCATCAAAATTATAGGTACAACAACTAAGACCTTCAGTGCCAAGCATTATCTCTAAAAATCAGAGTGCCTTTATCCCTAAGAGGCTTATTTATGATAACATCATAGTGGTTTTTGACCAATAACTTACTAGTTCGAATGGAAGAACTCAATTTTTTTTTAAAAAAAATTTCAAATTCGAGTTTTATAAATAAAAAAACAATCGTTAGAAGAGTTTCTTCTTTTATAGGGTTTGATTTAATTCAATTCTTAATAAGTTGGGATTCAATATATTTGGATATGGGGAGATTTAGTACAAAAAAAAAGAAAAAAAAATCATGGTGACCTTTGAGATGGTTCATCATATGAAAAATAAGAGGTAAGGACAACGAGGTGAGATGGCAATGAAACTGGATTTAAGTAAGGCTTTTGATAAATTTGAATGGAATTTCCTAGAGGGGTCTGTTGTACCTATGATTTTGACGATTACAAAACACATTTGAGTGACTAATTGGTTCATTTAAGTGTGCAGTTAAATTGCTAAAAGATAGCAAAGTAAGTAAACTAGGATTGCACTAAAAATGAACAAAAAAAGGCTAGCCTATGTAGAGAGCTGGCTCTAAGATTTGCAACCAACTCTACAGGTGAAAATTTTAAGTCCGTTGTTTGGTGCACGCGAAAAGCAAACGCAAAGCTGGCTCTGACTTTGTAGCCAACTGTGATGGTGCATTAAATGCACAACGATTAAGTTATTTGAAGATTTCTTTAATATTTTAAAGTCAGATTTCCAAAGCCGGCTTTACATTTTGCAGCCGGCTCTTGAGGAAAAGAAAATGGGTAGGAAACCCGCAATGTTGGCTTTACGTCTTGCAGCCGGCTCCACGAAGAAAACAGAATGTGTAGGAAACCGTAAAGCATGCTGTAGGATTTTAAGTCGACTGTGAAGAGCCGAATCTATACTTTAAGCCGGCTGTGCTGACAATTCTGCAATTTGAAATTACATGACTTGTAAAGCATTAAATGACCCCCAACAGCTAGTAATGGTTATTTTCGACCATGGGGTTATAAATATGGTTGGTAGAAGATCTGAAACAAGTTTGAAGAGCATTGTATTGAATATATTTACTTACCAACTTGTGCTTTAACTTGAGATTTTAATTTTTGAGAGATCTTTACTTGTAATCCTCTTCTTATTCTATTTGTGAGTAATTTTGGGGGTGTGGTTATTCCTTCAAGAGTGATTTATAGAGAGGATTGTTTGGATTTATCTTGTAAAAGGGTGAGATTTGAGAGAAATAGTCATCTTCTTGTAAAAAGATTGAGTGGCTCCTTTAAGCCACCCTTGTTCTTGATAGTGGAGTGTGTGGAGGAAATCCTTGGTGAGTGAAGTCAAGGTAGAGGACTAAGCGCCAAGTGGTTGGATCGATCCTTTATAAAATCATTGAGCAAGCTCTTCTTCCTTACTCTCTCTAATTCTTTGTTTTGTGATTGCAAAGAGGAGGAAAATTTTGAACTCCAATTCACCCCTCTCTTTGACTGCATTGAGTCAACAGGGTCATGTAGACTATAGGGCTACCATCAACAAACATGAGTGGACAAAGTGATGACTTGTGTTCACACAATTGAATATTCAGTTATGGTTAATGGAGGCTTAACTTAGAGATTCACTTCATTAAGGGAGATTCATCAAGGATATCCACTGTCTCCGTTTCTCTTGTTTTATGCAAAGATCTCTCAGCATGACATTGGATGGTTTGCAAAGAAGATATCTAAAAAGGGCTGCAGTTTGTGGAGGTGGTCCTAAGATTTTGCAGTTGTTCTTCGTTGATAATAGTATCTTGTTTGGGACAGCATTTGAAAGAGAAGCTACTAGGTTAATGGAAATTCCAAAGGAATATGGGGAGCCATCGGGGTAGCAAATTAAGTTTAATAAATCTTCTATCCATTTTAGTTGTAATACTCCAAAAAGGATACAATCTAAAGTGATGGAGATCCTAAAAATTGAATAGGTCATTGCGGAGGACAAGTATTTAGGCATGTCACTTTTAATAGGAAGGAAGAAATCAATTCCTTTTGCCTCAATTAGGGATCGCATTTGATCTAAAAATCAAGGGATGGAAAAATAAGAAATGCTAATTAAAGCCATAGGCCCATAGTGCAAGCCATTTCAACATATTGCATGGGGTACTTTCATCTGTCGTATACCTTTCTATAGTCACTAAATAGCATTATCAGTTATTTTCAATGATATCAATACCGTTTTGTACTAGTTTGTATAGTCGGTATGTACCAATTTTTTAACTTATCCAAAACAGTATAAGATGAAATTTCGTTTCGGTTAAAATTCGATGTACCGACCAAAATTTTGATGTACTGATTGATACGCAAAATTTCTATTGGTATGCACCATGCCCAAATTAAAAAAAAAAAAAAAAAAAAAAAAAAAAACCTTTTGAATTCCGTGGCATGGACCACTAAATTCCAATCCTTATCCTGGGAGTTTTCCATGCTGACACAAGATGTCCCTATCTTTGATTATTTCGAAGTAGTTTATTTTCTAATCTACTTCTCCTACAGTCCTACCAATCAGAGATCAAATTTTATGGATTCATAAGATAAGTTCTGAAAAATGCATTTCTTTATTAAAGAGGAAAATTGAACAGGAAATGCAGGTACCATCATAGAGGCTGTTCCTATTTGCAGTCGAAACTTCATATGATACGAAGCGACTAAATATTTTACAGCAAAAAACCTGCACAATCCTCCTGTAAACAGCGCCTACATATTTACAGTTTAATATCAAAAAGAAAAGGGATGTCTGATCTCCTGCCAACAGAACAGGATTCATAAACTACTAACTGTATCCACGTCTACGTTCCAGCTTTGTTCGAAACTACAACTGCACATAAAATTTACTTTGGCAGAAATTAACATGATACATGGAACCGTGACCATGAATAATTCACAGTACATTGCTGTATCTCGTCACTTCTCGTACACGGGTTCTTTTTTCCACTAGTTTCCTTATGGAGAACCATTTCAAAATACTGAACAGCTTGGTCCATCTCCTCTGTGCTTTATCAACGGCTGTAACAGCTGTTGTTCGCTGCAATAAGAATCCGCTGACAGCACTTTCTAGATCAACTGGTGATTCCAGAGCAAGGTTCGAGGATTGCAGATCACTATCAAAAAATCCAAGATGTTCGTCATCGCAGAAAACTTGAGAAATGGATTCTGTGTCACAGATTACTTGTCCAGGATAACTCAAAGGCTGGTCATATCTAAGACCCATATCTTCAATACCATGCAAAGTAAAATCATCCAAGCTACTCACACCACCAACATTATAGATGGACGAAATGATATCAGGAGAGGAAGCATCCGGTTGTGCATAATCAATTCCAACAATCTTTTGAGAATCCAAAAGCTTGTTCCCATTAGAAATATCGGCACTAGTCAAGTTTGAAGAGCCACCAACCAGAGCAGCTTCATCTTCATAAGAAACAACTTCCTCCCAGTGCTCAGATGCGGCAATTACCAAGCTTTGAGCTTCAGCCTGACAACAGAATTGATAATTAGAAGCCCATAAACCACATAATAGTAAACAGGCAGAAAAAAAGGGAGAAAACAAATTAAATCAGATGAGGTAAGGGAACAATGCCTTTTCTGTTTCAGACAGCTTATCAATAGGCATATACTGGCATTCTGAAAGTAGTCCCAGCATTTGTCCCACAACATTGAAGACCACACCAGATTTCTGTTGAGAACCGGAAGGACAGTACAAGTACAGCCCACTGTCAAGCACACATGTCCGTGCATGCTCAACAGTAACTTCCCACATTTTAGCAGACATACCTGTGCCAAGGATCTGCATATTTTCCAGAGTTACAATTATTCTAGAATCATCACAATTCTTGATAAAAGTAGTAAGTTTGCACTTATAGAGGGAACCATAACCTAATGAGGCTTAATACGAAGCATGGATCTTACTACAGCATAAATCAATTTAATATAAAAAATTAACACATCTAGTAGTGCATGACCGTGCAGAAAACCACTAGGAAAGCTAATCCAAACATATCCTAAATCTTATTTAAGCCTGGAACACAAGTAAAAAGGTCCTGCCATCCTATCTTCTTGAGAAACCAAAATTTAAGAATTGAATCACAGACTGGCAGATAAAAACTGATATTAGGGCTGGAAGTCTTTGCTAGTCTTTAATAATTAAGAGTTCCATATACAACTTGTAAAAGGGTGATTGAATCAGTTGCATCTTTTTGGCAAAAAAAGAAGAAAAAAGATTATCCTTTTTCGTTAATTTCTGATGGACATTTTAGATAAGAGAGGATATTCAAGCTAAAATGTAAATGAACTGAACTCTCACTTAAAGAACTAGATAGAGTGACAAAAGTACAAAGAAATAAGTGTAGTAAAGCCTCACATGTCTGAGCCTTGAGGGGTCTACAAAGAGCAGTGTCAGGAAATCTTTTACAGTATAGATATTTTCCCGACAAAGACGCTTGTGGAAAGCCCCATCTTTGCCAATTTTTTCCAATCTCCACACTTCATCAGACAGACACGGTGGGTGATGCTTCTTATATACTGCAATCAAAGTCAAGAGTTTTAAAAGTGTCTTCTGTCTGTTCCCAGCTCCTTAAGAACTAACAACAAATAAGTCCCAGAGGACAGAATAACAAGAAATTTCCACAACAAAATCAAGCCAACTTCACATAATACGCTAAGGTTTCCACTTCCATCACACAATTTTCAGAATTTTACAATAACATCATAAACAATGGGGTCATGAAGCAAATTAAGGGAGAAAAACTAGGAAAAGAAAGGATGAGCAGAACATTTCCAATTATTGCTCATCTTTTAATCTGAATTACAAGAAGAAAATTGAATACTGCTTGACCTAAGTGCTGCCTGCCTTAGGCTGAATAAATCAAACAGGGAAAAGAGATAATCTTTCTACTGGGAAAAACATCAAAATTTGGAGTTCGAAATTGCTTGGTCCGTTAAAAAACTGTTACTAGATCCAACCTCCACAGTTTATGTGCAACTTTTAAAACACAGAATATTAAGTGATGGACCACCCCAAACCTGAAGGTGGCAAGGTGGAAT